GTGAAAAGGAAGCACTCGCAATCGTTTTCGCCATGAAGCGGTTCCACAAGATGCTCTATGGCAGACATTTCACCCTCCTGACTGATCATAAGCCATTGCTGTCGATATTCGGCTCAAAGAAAGGAATTCCCGTTTTATCGCGAATCGGTTACAAAGATGGGCGACTATACTGTTGGCGTACGATTTCAGTATACAGTATCGACCTACGCAACAAATCGGCCAAGCGGATGCCCTGTCTCGTCTCATCAATTCGCACCCAAAGGAGAACGATGATTGTGTGATCGCAGCCATCAAGTTCGAATCAGAAGTCCAGCGAATCCTGACCGATAATATCAGAAGATTACCAGTGACAGCTGACACTATTCGCGCGGAGACTTCCCGAGACAGAACCCTAGAGAAAGTGATGCATTCCGTGCAAACAGGTTGGCCAAAAGGTGGTATCCCTGCTGACTTGCGGCCTTTCTTCAACCGACGTGGGTCACTGTCCGTTGTGGACAATTGTTTGATGTTTGGAGACCGGGTGGTGATGCCAAAGAAATTGAACAGGCAAGTCTTACAGCAGTTTCATACCGGGCATCCAGGTACCAACCGTATGAAAGCCTTGGCACGCAGTTTTGTTTATTGGCCCGGAATGGATTCAGAAATCGAACAATTCTGCCAAAATGTGAATCCTGTCAACTGGCGGCGAAGGCCCTTCCCAAGTGCCCCTGGCAACCTTGGCCCAAAGCAGAGAAGCCATGGCAGCGAATCCACTTAGATTATGCAGGACCAATCGCCGGTCAATCCTATCTTGTTTTGGTGGACTCTTTCTCCAAGTGGCCCGATGTGATCCCGATGCAAAGTACGACTGCCCAGTACACGATCAACGAGCTGGATAAGCTGTTCCAGTATTTCGGCCTGCCAGAGATGATAGTGACAGACAACGGTACACAATTCACTTCAACTTCCTTTCGCGAGTGGTGCAAAGAGAAAGGAATTCAGCAGATGTTCTCACCACCCTATCATCCGCAATCAAACGGACAGGCGGAACGGTTCGTGGATACCTTCAAACGTGCTCTTTGTAAAGCGGGACAAAACAAGGTCGCAAAGGACGCGATCCAGTCTTTCCTGTGCATGTATCGGAATGCGCCAAACCCAAACGCCCCAGATGGAAGAGCCCCTGCCGAAATTTTATTTGGACGAAAGATCCGGACATTGTTCGATAACCTTGTGCCAAGCAGAAAAGAAAAGCATTGTAGTTGTCCAGTAGAGGAAAATCTGACAGACAGGCTCCGTCATTTCAAAATTGGTGACATGGTGTTCGCGCGAGACTTCCGAGGACCGAGGAGGTGGTCAACAGGAAGAGTGATCCGCAGAAAGGGCCGAGTCATTTACGAGCTAATGGTAGGAAATGAGAAATGGGTCAGGCACGCCAATCAGCTGAGGCCGAATCACGGCAAGACTCAAAGTTCCTCGGAACCACCATCCTTACCGTGGGACATTCTGCTAGACACGTTTGGTTTGGAGGAGGAAGCTGAGCGGCTACGTGGATCACAACAGAACCTGCAAGCATCAGATGATACACAATGCAGGTCGACGTAAAAGTGGAGACGAGCACTGTTAGGAAGGAATACGCGACGCGAACAAGCCAGGACCCCATCGCCGCGGCAGGCGATCCAAACGCATCCGCCCTGATTGGGGCGAATAGAGAGCCAACCGGGAGAAGCGGCCAATTAAAGCGAGGGTGGCGTTCTTTTATTGGCTGTAAGTTGACCATTCCAGAGCTTTCCACGTTCGCTTTAAATACCATTCACGAACTCCATTTCGCCTTTATAATGGACGGTGTGATTTGCTAATACATTCCTGTTGCTCTGCTCGTCCGATCCGGTCTTCTCTCTGTCATCTGGGGGGACAAGGACTTGGGTTTGATTGGGTGTCAAGCGTCCATTCAGGCGAGGGACGAATAGTTCAAGCGCAATGGCTACAAGTTGACCCCAAGACGACAAGTTATGAATAAAAGCCAGTCGGAACAGTAAGCAAGCAGACTCAATTCGAAAAGAGATGTATTCAGAGACTGCAGCATAAGGATGTGTCACGGTGTCTAAGTGCCCATCATCGGGACGCGAGTTGCTACCCGACCGGTCGTACTAGGGCTGAGTCACGCCGGAAATTGATGAAAGCCATTCGTCACCACACGGGTTGCTACCCGAACGGCGGTAACACGGCTAAAGCAGGCGGGAAGGTGAGGAAATTAAACCGTCAAAATGAAACAGGTTGTTACGTGACAGGGTGCAAGCAGGATTGAAATCTGTCCAGGGCAAGTGGCTTGAGTCAACCCAGGAGATTGCGGCCTACGAAATGAGCCGTGTTCTGTGTCTAATATACTTCGGTATTGCAGGTTTGGGTGTTATGTTTTCGTCTCCAGTTGGGTATAACAGTTACTCAGACGACAGAGACGAGGTCGGCGTTACAACGGTGAGCGTTAAAACACCTACAGAACAAAGAAGTATATGAGAGAGAGAAGGGGATCTAGCGTACAAACTTTGTGCCCGAGGCAAGTATTCAAAGTCGAGGCGTCTTCACCATGTCAACGGCATGCCGTTACAAATAAGGCTTTCGTACGAAGCTAATGCAGTATCGACCAGAAAGCCTACTTTCGTCATAATCAGTCATTAGCCCACAGATAACTCGGAACCAAACAAAATTTAAACAAGCAGTCCGATATGGAGTCTACAGCATGCGCAATTTAAAGGGCTGCATGGACACAGGTCAGGTTTGATGCTTGCGTGCTTACCATCTATCTCTCTGCCCAACGCTTGTGGGCACAATTTTAGGAGTTGTACAGACGTAGCCATTGATTGACTTGGTTGAGCAAATAAATGCTCGGTGGTTGCTGTTCTACTGAGTGTCTCCGATGCCTGAGCTCATTCTGCCCATTTTGCTGCGACAAAGATGGGAAATACTTTTTTGCTTATGAGTTCAACTTGGTTCACACTTTCCAGTGATTGTGTGGTACCCCTAATCATACCGCGGAATCCCACTGTACGGGCGTACTTTGAGGCTCTCTCTGCACGTCACGCTTCTCTGAATTCGTTTATTCATTGGTTAGGTCACATCAAACTAAGCGCGCAGCAGCGAATGCAGCTGCAGCATTCAAAAGTGTTAAGGCAATTTGGATAGTTGTTAAGGTTACGACATTCACAGACAATGTAGCAAGTGCATTTAAATTTTCTACTCGTTTCTTGTTCATCGAGATGCACTATGGCCCTTGTACGGCCAATCACGCTGCCACTGTAAATGCCTAACGGTGCAAGAGTTAAGCTAACCAGCAGGCTTGCCGCATATTCCGGGATTGTGAGCACACCGTAGGGTGAGTTACGACGATGCGATACGCACAAAGCAGCACACGCGGACACCGATACAAACTAGTGGTACCGGATCTAAAGCGTATCGATCGCCCTCTATGTTTCAAGGGTCGAATCGTGAAGTATTGGAACAAGTTGCCGGAGACGCTTATCGAGGCGAAATCGGTGTCGGAAGCTAAGAGGTTCCTTGACGGCCACTTTGCGCACTGCAGGTATAGGGAGCGTATCGCACCCTGATAAGATGTAGTGCAGGTGCAATATGTTGCCAACTCGCGGGAATTAGTGCCGTGATTCCGCGCATATGGCGGATCCACCTACGATGGAGCAGCACGGATGTTTATCTTCTTGCTCTCTGTTTTCAGTATTCAGTATACTAAATCGCACTAGACGGGAATGACGAACTATAGACTATTGAACATAGACTTCAAACACGGTCTGGGCCGGGGAACTAAGACTAAGACACTAATAAGTTGTGGGGATTTTGGAGCAACTGTAGCTGTAGTTGGTCGCAGTCCCCTCTCAGTCAGGCAGATTCATGCACGTTTGGAAAAGCGCCAGACAACCGTTTCGATCTTCGGGGTCTCAGCAGTGGTGCGCGTTCCTCGGACCGCTGCTGGGTTCCGACCCCCTGACTTCCCGATGCCGGCAGCTTGTTCCGCTAAACCATAGGTGACGGTGGTGGACCTGTATGCC